CTTCACAGTAAAATGTGGGGTCCTCTGATCTCTGATGACACTGTAATGGGAAGGAATGCAGCCCCTTACCCTCAACTTCCAGCTTCACCAATTTGGAATACGCTGTCCCAAGGCTGTTTTTTGCCACACATCGATACTGTCCTGCATCTTCCTTTTGCACATTATGAATCCTCAAACTTCCAGATTCAAGAACTGCAATGCGGGAATTTTCCTGCCAGAGAAAGGGATATGAATTTGAAAACATCCGTGCCTCTATCAAAAAAGATACATTTGCTATATTTCATCAAGTCATCATCCATCATCACTATTATCAGAAATACCATTTTTAATCTTTATTGGGCATTTATTATATCACACAGTATTAAATGAGATAGTGCAAGGTTGCCTAAATTAAATTAGCTTCACAAAGATCCCACGAGATACTTTATTTTCTTTCAGCACATGAGGACATGAGGGCTTGCTTGACTTCCTAAAAGTCAAACCCAAGTCTGTTTGATTAAAAGTATTGCTTTTAACTACATTGTTTACTATGTACCCTATATAATATCCTTTAAAGAATATATATATGTCCTTTGAAAAATTGGAAAATTCCACAAATAATATAAAAATTACTCTTTGGAATTAAAATACATTTATATTTTCCTTTTGGATCCGAGTTTGGTAACATATATAGAATCACTCTCGTTTTTCATTGTAGAAAATGCACCAAGATTTAGAACAAAAGAAATGCCAGAGAATTACATAGATTATCATTAAAAATTAGCATTATTTATTTGATTTTAAATAAAACAAAGCTAATCAGTTTTATAGTTTATTTCAATTAATTGACATATATTGACACCTATGTATTCCCCATGGGATATGCTGGGCATGGTAAGGTGACAAACACAGTCTATTATCCCACTGGTAGGTGATATAAAGATGGACAGAAACCACAGTGATGTAGTATAATAATGTATAAGTAAATGTAGGGATAAGATACAAAAGCAGTATGAAATAACATACGAATAATAAATTTTTAATTTGATTACTT